AAAAAAAAAAAAAAACACTGCAAATCTTGGAATTATCGGTAAACTGTTTAACACACGCTAATTTTCCTGGTTGTTTTGCAGTCGGAGTTTCCCCCAATGTTTTTCCCCCTGGCAGTCCAGTTGTTCCTGCACACATTTTGAGCTTGTCTACAGCACTGATTGATGCGACGGAGCTCACTGATTGCTGCAAAAGCGGAAGGCGTCATTTCGAGCAGATGTCAACGTGTTCGAAGTTGAAACTCACAGAAAAAGATGGGATTTGCATTCGAACAGCAGCAATTTGCTGTATGAGCACACTACTGAACCAGAGCTGTGAACTGGGCATAAAAATGGCTAACGAGGACGAATATTGCCCGTTTGCTCTCAATGAGATTGGTGGAGGACTTCGTAAGGTATTTCACTCATTTGCTTCCTTTCAATATTTCAAGCGGCTTCGTGATTACGTCTAGATATTTGCACGTGTGCAAGTGGAAACGCACTGTAGCCCGTAGACTCATGAACGGGCTGAAGTGCGTTTCCACCCGTATATGTCAGTATCTGTCCTTCCGCATAATTCAATATTAGAATTAATTAAGTCAGAAAGTAAAAATTTTGGGTTCAAATCCACCAACTTTACATAATCAACTCTCTCCCTCCATTCACCTTTTCAGATCAGCTTATCTGTAATTTGAAGAACAAGGCGTTATGATAGCGATAAGCTGATTATCAGAATCACTACAGTACATGAATAGCTTTGAACAAAGTCGTTGAATATAAATATATTATTTGCATCACAATAATTACTGTTTATTACAAGTTTACCTAGGAGTGTTGCGACTGCTGTATGTTAGCCAAGGAACTCACTAGGAAACACGGTAATTGTACCCCACCAAACGGCTTCAGTGAGACGTGTTTACGTTCATTCCATCATTGCTGCTCGCGAAAGTCGGGCGGAAAATACAGTTTACAGGATCATCATCATTATGAAAGTTTGTTTCTTTTGCGCTATTTTTGATGCGAAATTTTCTCTTGTTTTCTGGATTTTCTTAAAAAATGAGACTAAGTTAAAATTAGTTTTTGGGTTTCATTTTTTTTGTCCAGTGCGTTAGAAGAGCATTCCAGTCCTTAGCAATATGTAGACCCTCTTCTGTGTTTCGAGTTTCAGCAACAGCAATCTTTCAGTGGTAAAGAATTCAGTGGTTTTCATCTTTGGGAGTTACTATAAAGCCAAAGGAAAATGCTTCAATTTGTTAGCACGGTCTAGGGAAGCAATCATTGTGCCGTAAAGCATCGGATCATTGCACATCGGAGAAGCTGATCCCGTCGAGTAACACTTCACGAGACAGTGCATAAATGTGATATCGCAAATCACTGCACCATTGAACAACATGCATTTTTACTTTATGGCTTAGTCAGAAAGTCGTTTGAGCTTGGCTTCTTCCCCGAACCAATCCAGCAGATCCGGATGGGTTTGGGAAGTGATTATTGCCGCGGAAGTCCCGCGAAAAGCCAGCAATCGTTGAAAAGCTGCGCTACATAGGATGCAGCAATCAGCGACACAGAATGCGTTTATACAGAATATAGGTGCTCTAGTAGGTACGAAGATCGCAGGAGTTGCTGGCGCACTGGTCTAGCACGTCGCGTCATGATGTGAAGACGAATGGTTCGATTCCCTTCCGATCCACAATCGTTTTAAAAACGACGCTTCTGCGTGAACTGTTGCATAATCGGACACGAGTTCATTCATGAATAAAATATATGTAAAGTATGAATCTAGCAGTTAACGGACTTCTTTTTACTTGGCCTCTGACGAAACAACAAATAAAAAGGACAAAGAAAGGAAACGAAATCTTATGAATAAATGAAAACCTACGCAATAGTAGAACTCATAACGATTATCCGTTTAAAAAAATGAATTCTTAACATGAAAATTGATAAAAAATAATATAAAAATTTATAAAATTCCCTTTGGTCACACTCAGCTTGATTACAGCGGTTGACCGAAGTTACTTTTGCATGTTTGTAAGGTCATTCGGATGCAGTGGGTGTGCAGCGTATCGGGGATCGCTGCGCCTTGGCGAACTGTGAACACGTATGCACCGATCGCGGGGGTGCATCGGTGGAATGCTCCTGTCATGCCGGATATGAGCTCGGTTCGGACGGTTACTCGTGCGTCGGTTAGTAAATATTTTTTCGTTAGTCAGTTAAATATATTAAAAAAAAAATTGATTTTCCTCGTGTTGTGTTGTTAGCTTATTGCAACTGCCAATTGCTGCTTTTCCAAAATACACTTTCGCCAACATTCCCAGCACCCTTGCTGCACTTAGATTCGATAAGATATTTTGGCGTTTAGCTATTAGCATCGTCTAAAGTAAGTTAAAAATAGCCAATTCATCCAGATCTGTTGAATCAGCGGCGATCACTTGCCTACTGCTTTACTGGCACTTTAAACCCTTAGAAAGCTTACAGCGGTTCAAGGCAATTCCACTGCATGAATCCACGCTTTACCACCAGTGTTTGCGTCGCAAATTGGTGTTTTTGGACAAATTTTAAACTGCCCAGTCGACCTGCTGATCAGCACTTTATTCTTGTGAAAATTTGCGTCTTGTAAAAAACTGTTTGAGCGCTTGAGGACTACAATTCCTGTGGACGCAATGTTGGACAGCACGGTGTAACTGGATTTCGCCGTGAGCTGGATGCAGAAATGGCTGAATTTCGGAAAGCGCCAGCAGCGAGTGGTTGCGCCGCCAATGAACGATGCGAGAGGGCCTCGGACGGAAGCTATAATTGTGTGCCAAACCCGCAGCACCGGTTCTTGAGCGTTGGCACTGACACAGCTCCGTCCACTTTGATGATGGGAACAAAAATTGCCACACGCTATGGTACCGACACCGATGAGCAAAAGGCGCCGCTACTAGATGAAAATGAGATGCTGTGTCCACTTGGCTGGGAAATGTCACATATCGGGCAGTGCGTCGGTGAGTACCATTGTGCTTCCTACGTTTCCTATTCCTGATTTGCACGCTGAATTATTCGCTTAAACATCTTTTTTCGTTTACTCGCTGCTCTGTTTCGCCGCTGCACGGATCATTTTATGGTTGGTCATTACTCATAACAGAAAGGACAGCAGGGAGGCTGAGGCCAACTCAAAAAGTCAGCTTGATAGCACAGAATTGCTGAGGGGAAGCAGCCACCAACAACTGCTTGTACTGAGGCGCCGTTGACCACTAGACCATATCCACTGTTTATACATTACCTAGTTTCAGAAGAAATCGAGGAATTTTCCCAGTTGTCCGGTAGAACATTTCTGCTTGTGGCTTGCAATTTTTTTTTTTTTTTTCACTTCTGTTGTGCTTGCAACTTCTGCGCAGTTCTGGCACATGCCATTGAGCAAGTCAGCCTTCTTTTGGTGTGTTCTCGCAAGAATCGCTGTTGTAATACTTAAACACACAAATAAAAAAAAAAACCCTGTTTCGTCTCGCACGCAGTCCTGGAAAGATGGAACTGTGAAAAAAACTGCCAGAAGCACCGCCGAAAGATGCAAAAGCGAGATCGTAGCCGAACTGTGTGGATAGGGTTCTGCCACTTTACTCAGTGCATGGTTTGTGAAGATTTTTCGTGTGCTGTGCTTTGCTTGCTTGTTACGCACATTTTTCACCGAAATTTTAAAATGCATATTTTTTAAATTAGATTTCTTGCTTTCAGCTTTTGCTCTTTTCGAATTATGGTTTGCCCGTGTGCTTTCATTCATTTCTTTGTGCTTGCTAAAATAGCGACAAAAGACTAGGCTTGTAGACATAGACGAATGCGATACGCGTGAAACGGTATGTACACTGCCTAATGCGCACTGCCTCAACACTCCTGGATCATTCTCCTGCGTCTGCTTACCAGGTTTCTACTGGAGTGATGTCGGCTCCGTCTGTGTAGGTAATGTCTTGCACACAATTGTCAATTGTTTTAATAGTTTCAACAGTGCTTTTCCTTTTGTGTTAGCCCATTGTTTCTTGGATGTACTAGATGTTCGACAAAAAAAAAAAAAAAAAA